TTCAATAACACTTGCTCCATTAACTCTCCCGCGCCCACAATAGACATCAGCCAACCTAGTAATGTATCCCAATTACCGGCTAACCGAATTTTCACTTTAATTACAAGTCATAAAGTCGAAATTAGATCGTATACAACAGGAACATGTAACCACAACCACATCCCAATCGTAACATGAATGTAACAATGATGTAATATTGTAGTCGCTATGTCTTAGAATATAGAAGCTAGTTTCCTTTAAAGGTAATTAGCAATGTGCAAGACCGATTTATTCTATTTCATGTGTGTCCAAATTGCGGACGGTTAAGTTTACTATTGCTAGTTCGGTGCTTTCTATCTATGCTATTGTGTAAGCCGCTGATATATAGTCCAGCAGATTTAAACAAAAGCAAATATCACAAAGTTGAAAAAAATATATAAATTGCCAAAAAAAAACATTCATAAAAATGATTATTCAAATTTATTCGTAGTTTTTTGAATGAAGACATATTATAGTAAAAAACATCAAAGTCCTAAAATAATATTTTCTAAAAAAAATTTATTAAATTCATAAAGCGAGGACAACGTTTTTTTTTATTTTTTTGAATTCACGAGATTGCTAAAGTCGATTTAGCTCACAGTTTGGTTATTTTTAATTTTTTATGATAATATATAATACACGTGGGAAAGCGCAGTGGGCAGCGATTTTACAATGGCCCAATGGTCTTGTTTGCTTTACTTGCTCAGTCGGCGAACGCAGACGAATGGGAATGTCTACTCACTATCTTTTTTACTTACTGTCCTTTTATTATCGAATTAGCTTTTGTTTTATATAAACGAAAAAACAAAAACACAACTATGTATAATTAAAATAAATTCTTACATCCCCACACTTACCTAGTTAAAATGTTGTAAAAGTTTCGTTAAATATATCAAAATATATTTATCTACTAATTAATAACCATAAATGAATCACCTCTGAGCTGAGAATTAGCATTATTTGTATAGAGATAATGTAAAGTAGTTGCTAAGTAATGCAATAGTGTTGTGTTATGCACGTGATGTCCCGTTGAATGGGGTAAGTTTAATTGAAGTCCGTAGCTGATACCACCTTAGGCTACGTCCCGAGGGCAAAAGCGTCGAGGTTTAGGCCACCTTTGTTTATGAACAGTGAACTCAATAAATATATCGCTAAGTACATTATTACTAAATATTACCAGCAATCTTTAGGAAATTTATATTAATTAATACCATATCTTTGTATATAAGAAAACTTTAGAATATGTGCTTTATTTTCTTTATTTTGTAAGTTTAATTTCATACTTTCGTTTCATATACGGGCTTACAAAGTTTTCGCATATTGTTTTATATAATTTTACGTGTTTGTGAATACTGTTTTATGAAGGTGCAGTGAACCAATCCAATACAGGCTTGTTGTCTCTATCAACCTTCAACAGCTTTGTTTAACTTTACTCATAATAACTTTATTTATTCATTTTATATGAATGCACAGTATTATATAAAAATTTATGAATTTATAAACGGTTCTTAATATTAAAATTTATATTTTAATTTTTATATAGAACCATCGAATATTAAAATTTTAAGTTTAATTTGAATGGACAAAGTAAAGATATATTAATATATTTGATCACGACTCACGACCTCGAAGATTCAAACGAATGTTTATCACACAACTTTTTTTTTCAATAAAAAATGTATTTGTTTATAAAAATATGTATAAAAACTTTTTATAAGACTGACTATTTTGTTTAAAAAAAAGAAAAATATATTTTAAAAGACTCTAAAAGAATTCTGTACCTAAAACTAACACCTGAACGCTGATCAGGTGATAGGGTCTTGTATTTTCCATTCTTTTATCTTTGTCGATACAAAGACGCTTATTGAAACGAGATGAACGTCTGTTATCCAATTTCAGGAAACGACGTGAAGTCAAAGAGGAAATTATTATCATTTAGATTAATTCCTCGCTGCTTCTCCCTACTGCCAGGTGCAACTAAACTTACGACACTCTATACTTTCTAATTATTTCTCTGTAATTTTATAATCATTAGAAAAGAGATCGTTATTGAAATGAATGAAAAATTTAAAAGCTATAGAATTTTCTAATATAAAGTGATATTATTAATATGAAAATCTGAATACATTTCCATTTCATTTGCAATATTGATGCTGACAATCAGTTGATTGCAATAGTACTATCCAAAACTGATAAAGCTACAATTGTAACTAACAATATATGTACATAATTTTTGTGTATAAATTGTATGTTTGTATAGGTATTTCAAATCAGGGCTTTAACTTATCAGAACACAATAACTTTAAGTATATCTAAGTACTTATATGTATATGTTTACTTACAACTTTTTTTGAAATATCCTTTTAAACATAATATTTAAATAAATTAATAATAAATTTGTACATCCTGTGGGATTTCAAGGTGCAAATTGTTCTGTGAATATTAGAGGAGCTTCCATTTGACGTAAGCAATGCAATTTCGCGGCAACGCATAATAAGCTATTTACGCAAGTCTGGCTTCCGATGAATGTATAATGTAATCAGTCCTAATAATGTGAGTAATACTAAGTAATATCTAGTAAGAAATTTTATTATAAGATTTAAATATTTGTCATTGATTAATATGGACAACCCTAACCATTTATTTGCAAATAAATTACATTTGCCGAAAAACAAAAATGAGCACTTCGTTCATGAAAACAATGGCTAGATAATATTTTAATTAAACATTAATTCGTTTTTAATAAGGCGAAGGATAAACATAATTAAAAATGCCAGCGGCAGCGCTAGCAATTTTCCCATAATATAATTAAACATAAATAATTGAAGGGATTGGTTTTGCCCCTTACGCTGTGATCTTTAAAACATCCAAATGCAAGTGGAATACTGAAGAGCTTTCTTATGTGAATTAATTTCCTGATGTGAAACAGTTATTTGGTATATATAATGTTTCCTTTTAATATTTTTTTTATTTTTTATTTGTTTAAGAGTATTTTTTTTCATCACGTTAACTTAACACTGCCATTCGTCGGAAACGATGTGTTAACAAAATACAAAACATTTTGCTGAAATACACTAATCACGTTATTTTATTTCAGGCTCAACGAAACAATGGCGTTTTTTTAACGAAAATTTCATTTCGTTAAGGGAGTAAAAAGATTTTTTTAATCCGGTACAGTAGAGTGACGTTGATTTGGACTTATTGCGGATTATTCGACCAAAATTGACTACTAAATATGTTTGTACCTGACCAATAATTAATGAATGTACCTACCCAACACAAAAACTGACTGTATACAATTTGAAGTAGTTTACAGAAAGTGTCCCATTGAGTTTTTCATTAATAATAAATTGATTTAACTTATTATATATACATAAATTAATATAATAAAAGTGTTACAATAAAACAATTAAACACAATTTTATAACTAATATTTTTTGTAAAGATCACATGAGATTAATGCTGGCGGATAAATTTAAGAAAATTAAAAAATATAATCCGGTCCCAGGAATTAATTTTACATGAATTTAGAAACGACGTAATGATATGACGTTTTTATATAACTTTTTCGTCAGCAGATCTGTTATTTTTCTGAATACTTAAATTATTCCCAAGAGTTACTTACTGGCAAGACGATAAATTGAAAAGTTCCGATTTGTTAAAAAATTTAGAAACAATATTTTTTTCTTCATTTAAAAAAAATATAATCAAGAATATTTTTTAATTTCATTCATAACTTCATTATGATTACAACTTGTGGTCGTGGTTGCATATTATAAATTTATGTTTAAAGCTATAATTTACAGTCATTATTATATAATATAAAACAATAATTGAATCACATAAAGCAGCCTTATCATGATTACTCGCCGTCGACTTAATCAACTAAATAGAATTTGTCTTGAACTATAAAGAGAATTTCTTTCAATGGTTGGTACCATCTACAAAATTATGCAAAGCAATAGCCGCAGATAAGATATCATTGAGTTCAAAGAATTTGTATAGACCGATAAATTTAAATACGCAATTTAATATAAAAGAAGCTTGCTTATCGGAATAAAGCAATGTTTTTAATTTAGAATTTAAATTAACCTTATTATAAAAAATAAATAAAAATAATATGAATTAATAAAATGAGAATTAATGTTAATTATTTCATCCACAACCGTTAATGACTCATCATAATTTTAATATGTTTTTAACAAATATAATAAAAGTCGTAAACCATTAGCGGATCACCTGTTTATTAAAACCGTAACTTATCTCTCCAAAGCTTTGATACGACGCAACCCAAATCCCTCACCTTACTAAATTTATTTCCATACCATAAAAATAATTAAATTGTACTAAACCCGTTTTCGATTAATTTTTAAAACGTGAACCGTATTTCGTTATATGGAAAAAATACATCGTGAGTACATTACATTTATTTATATTTTTATTTATCAACAAAAATATAAGGAAACGAAATTACGATTTCTATTGTAACTATAGATTTATATAATGTGTTTAGTAAATTTTACTCATTACATTTGTCTCATTTAATGTATAATAGATATTAGAATAAGATCGAAAGTATTTTATTATATGAAAGTATTCCTAAATGATGAATTACAGTCATAACTATGTGAGAAACCGTACGTAGCGGCGATCGGTCCCTTGCAATATAATTGTAGCAACAGTTGCTTACGATACGCGCTACGCTGCACTCGTGCCCCGTTAAGTGATGTTGCGCTCACGAATAAAGTAAAACGAAGTGATTTATCATGTTTTACTTTAAAAATTACTTATACTTTTATTAACAATTACTCTAAACAGTACTAATGTGTGCAATAATGAATAATATTTACTTAGTTTTTTATATTTTTCTTTTTTATTCCAAAGGTAACAAATATATTATCGTATAGAATCATAAACATTTTATTAAACTTAAATTAAATTGATATAATGAAATATTAATACACATTTTAGTATCAATTTGCTTGCGCGTTGTGGGTATATCGGTTCCGAGTCTGAAACAAAAAGGTGAATCTGCAACTCTTACATGTGATTATGATCTCGAAGGAGGGAAATTATATTCTGTGAAGTGGTATCGGGATAATGAAGAATTTTACCGATACATGCCCAAATTACGACCACCTCAACACGCACACAGGCTAGAAGGTGTCAAAGTTGATGTAAGAATACTCTAGACAAATTTAAACACAAATTTCTTTATCTCTTCAATATAAATAAAATCATGTTTTTAGTACATATATTTATTAAGCACTTATAGCTTGAAATAACTATTCCCTTCAAAAATTAATCAAACTTTAATAATGTCAAGTCGCAGCATCTTATAACGCTACTTCATTCGAGAGAGAAATAAATAAACCACAACTACTTATTGAGAGCTGTGTCGACGAAATAATAAGAGAAGAAATATTATATCATAGATCTCTTTGATTACTGCTTTTTATCAAATGCAGCAAAAATTTTATATTGTTTATAAATTAAAAAATTTTAACTTATTGAAGTATAGTAGTATAAATCCGAAAAGATTTCAATATTAATTTTTAATAAGACGTTTTTAAACCTTGTAGAAATAATTGTTAATAAAATAATTCGGCACAAAAAAAATTTGGGGATGTCCAAGATTAAATTTCCATTAAAAGGCAATCAAACACAATTTTTTTTTTCGTTTTTCTCATTCTTGTTAAGAATAAAATATATATCTTTTAATAACCTTAAAAACATACATCACAATGGTTTTTATCAAAAAGAACGTACCTATCAAAAATCTACAAAAGCTACGCTTTCGTTCAAAATACAGCCCTATAACACTGTTAGCCTGGATACATGGCTCACAAACGATTTTTAACTAGATTACGAAATTCTATATCATGAATATCGGGAGTGCGATCAGCTATTTAACTTTAAAAATATACCACTAATTGGTGTTTAGCAAAGTAATTTCTCTTTAATTATAGTATAATTTGAATCCTGTAAAACATATATAACTGTAGAAACAAAAAGAAAAGTTTTAATTATTTTTGTTTAACTTAAATTTTGTTGATTATAAGAGAATATAACTTCAATAAAATATCTAATCATAAGATACGAACAATAATAATAAGTGAATATTTTCATGGAATAATGTACGTTATAAATGTTACATTTGAGTAGAGTACAAAAGAAAATCACGATATCGCCAAATTAGTGGGCATATGTAAATTCAAAATCCAGATTGTGGCGCTATAAATGCTTTAAACACTAGTGCTATTACATATCATTCGTACTTCGAAATACAAAAAGAGGAATAAGTCCAATTTATATTCGTGTCAATCCATTGACCGTATTTATTTATTAGTATTTAGCTTATAAAACGTCTATTTATTTCTAATATGAGTATCTTACTTATCTAAAATATTAAAGATTTTAATAATAAAACTTTATTTTTTTTTATTTAGTTGGAGAAGTCGTCCACACGTCGGGTACACTTGCGGGACCTAACACTGAAGTCAAGAGGACTTTATAGATGCGAGGTGTCTGAAGAAGCACCTTCTTTCCACTCGGCTCAGTCTGAGACGTTTATGGAGGTTTATTGTAAGTTGCCTTACGTAATTTACTGTCTTACGTAATTTAATGTCTATATACATATATCTAATATCAGTGGCGTGCAGAGATTTGGGGTAGGGTAAGCAGAATATGTTTGAAAAGTACTTATATAACTAATACCAATTTTCATCATTTCCACCTCTTAAACATTGACAATAATGATATCTTTTGCAAGTATTATTTCAAATTTTAAATGAAACCTAATTTTTATTATTTTTAACGGGCAGACGAGATTTCTGCCGTGATCACGGTTGCTACAAAGTAATCGAAACGTCGGGAGAACGTAGTTTTTAAACACAATAAAATACGCGTAGTAACCAGAAAATATTAATTTCATTTAAACATTGATAATATTCGCGCATAATGTTACAGCAGTCCGATCAAAACGAACATCTATATACTTTATGAATCATTCAACTTAAAACGATTACGACCTGTTCATCACAGCTTTATAAAAGTTATTTAAATAAGAATATCCATTGGAGATTCAAACATTCTTATTATCATCATTTGAAAACAACAAACAAGGCAAACAAAATAACTTATTTGTTTGTACACAACCTGCTAACTAATTAAAACTATCATAATACTTTTTATTAAAACGAATAACATTACCTTTCTTTTAGTTCAATCTCAACTGGTCACACACCTTGACTCTACACTTATTTTAATTTTATTATCAAACGACAATATTGAAAATCGTAACTAATTTCAATAATCACACAATCACACATCACAAGCACAGAGCTCAAGACAGCTTTAAAAATTTTCCAAATTTCCAAACAAAAAGGGAAAAACATAATTCGTTTTCGTTTTCCATAATTCGTTAATAAATTAATCCACTGTTTACTATTTAACTAATAAAAACTTTTTCACTTGCACTTAGAAAGACAATTGACAAATAACAATAAAATGGCGCAAAAAATATATGAACACTTTACCGACCAATCAGAGAGTCCCATTTCATTTGACAATTACGGGCTTTCTACGAGATTTTAAACAATACAAAATACCTAATCAGTGCTTCTCGAACACTATGCGTGTGTTAGTTTTATGCACACATACAAACTTTTCCTGTATACATACACGAGATTTGTAGATCGTCCTTGAGAATTTTTGTATTGAAAATAAGCACAGAGTAGTTGTGCGTTCCGCCGCTCTGGCTGTATAACGGCGCTAGCAGTTAGCAGCGGCCCATCGAAAATATTTCATTTTTACATTAATTGATAGATTCCACTTATTAACAAATCATGAATCAGATGTATTTTAAATGTCTGTTAACATTTGTATTTCGTAATGTAAGAAGTAAAGTAAGAATTAAACAATATAGGTTTAGTTGTTATATGGGTAGGGTATGCAGTGCTTATTTGCATCTATGGTGTGCACGCCACTGTCTAATATATCTACTTTGAACCTTGAAGAACATTTATTTAAGAAATATTCATTAAAATGAAGTAAAAATACTTATATTCCACAGTAGTTTTACAATATTCATATCATACATAACATATAATGTGAAATTTTCTTTTATGGTATGAAAAAAGAAACAAAAAAGTTCATGAAAAATTCTTAACATCAAAACTATTTTTTGCACTCATAGACATACAAGTTATATTTTATTTTAGATTTCCCACGAGAGAGCCCACGTATAGTCGGTTATGAGCGACCTTATGAACTATTAGAACCGCTTGATGTTAACTGCTCTTCAGCTAAGGCGTTCCCGGCCCCTGAACTACAATGGCACATTAATGGAGAAAAGGTTTAAGTGTTTTGTGGAAGGAGTAAATTATTAAGTATTTAATTTATTCCCTAATATTCCAATAATATTCACTATATAAAGAAATATTATCAGAAAGACGACTATGGCAAGTATAGCTTTTCTGAACTTCAGATTAATGTGAGTAAAAATTTTACGCACTATTCTAAATATAGTGCTCTGATATTTGAAGTTGTTTATAATATAACAATAATTTATACATTTCTAACTATTTCAATATTAATTTTAAAATCTAAGCGCACGGTAGTGCGCCGGCCAAGTTCCACAGGCCGGCGCATGCCGTGCACTATATTTACACGAACCGTTTCGACCCACTTTTGACCCCCCCTGTAGCTCAGTGCCTATTGCAAGTACAGAGATAAAATTTTACCTACGTAATCATATACTAGAACTAAAGCAGTATGCCAAATTTCATAGATAAAGCTTTAGTAAATCCTGAAATATGACCCTGTGAAAATAGCTAATTTTGGCACTGACTCACTGACAGGTAATCAAAACCTCTAGGCCACTTCCCATTGTTTTAGCATTATGAAATTTGGTACACAGGTCGTGTGTTATATGTAGATTAACAAAAAATTAAGAAATTTAAGAAATCGGTCAAGCGTGAGTTGCCTCAATTCTAAATATCGAATTTTTAATAAATTCGACCCACTTTTGACCCCCCCTGTAGCTCAGTGCCTATTGCAAGTACAGAGATAAAATTGTACCTACGTAATCATGTACTAGTCCTAAAGAAGTATGCCAAATTTGATAGATAAAGCTTCAGTAGATCCTGAAATATGACCCTGTGAAAATAGCTAATTTTGGCACTGACTCACTGACAGGTAATCAAAACCTTTATATAGGCGCTCAGCTCAGCACAATAAAATACATAATAATGAAATATTAATAATTAATAATATGAGTACATCTATCAATCGGTGATAAATGAAACTAAAAAATAAAAAATAAATATAGTTTAAAAAAAAACTAAAAAACACGCTCCAATGATGAAAGAAACCGCGTGGAAACTAATTTAACCTTTACAACCTTGGAAATCAATTTAATTTAAATTGTTTAAAATAAACAATAAATGGTATTATTGAAAAAAAAGCGTGGGGCGCTTCTCAAGAACTGATATATGAAGCTCATCACGCTTTTTTTCACAAAAATACCATTTATTGTTTGTTAATTTATTTTTAAATTAATATTATTGTGAAAAAAGTGTGGGGCTCTTCTTAAGAACTGATATATACATAAGGGATATAAAATATTGTCATGTATACATAATGCACACTGTATAACTTAATTAAATATTGCTTACCTAAAAAATCAGGTTTCTATTGTTATAAATTACTTTCGATAGATGGCGCTAGCGGTATAATTGAATCGCGATATTGTTTTGTCTGCAGTATATATGAATGAAAGTCGATAAGGAATCGATGGTCATTTCTTTCTATTTCTTTCTACACTTATGTCTTGATATCTTATATATGGTTACGATTACGATTAAATGGATCACTGATTTGACTTGCTAAAGGATTAATTTTGATATTGCTTATTGATTGATTACTTGTGTGTTTTAAAAGCACAAATTCACTCTATTTCTTTTCTACTATTCATTTACCAACGATGGAAATTGTACATCTTTCGGTGGTTGGTGGAGATATACCACATAGGGTAATTCCTATGCCATCAGACGGTAGCTGTATGTTTCATGCTGTAAGTTATGCATTGTACGGCTGTATGTACGAATTCTTGAAAAAAGTATTGAAATCTCACCAAAAACATGCCTGTTAAAAAGGGGGCCAAGTTCCAATCGGCTAATTGTTTGCCTAAAAAAGGGGTGAAATCCAATCTAATGCCAAGTTTAGATGCACTTTGAAATCGATCATAATCATCTTCATTAACAGCATGATCCACTGGTAAACATTTGCCATTCCCAAGACTCGCCACCACACCCAGTCCTCTGCCTTCCACATCCAGCCACTACCCGCCACCTTATTCACGTCAACGGTCCATCTGACCGAAATTCACTTTACCATACACCCAACTTAAAATATGGTATAGTTGTGAAAATACGTAGGTGCTTGGTTAAAAATATCTAAAATTATAATACTTCTAAATTTGAACTTGGCAGGTTAATTTAATTATTTAAATTATATAATATTTAAATTATATAAATATAAATAATTATATAACTAAATAATAAATTAATGATACAATTAATTAAGTGTTACGTACAGCACAAAAACCTGCCAAGTTCAAATTGAGAAGTATTATAATTTTAGATATTTTTAACTAAGCACCTACGTATTTTCACAACTATACCATATTTTAAGTTAGGTGTATGGTAAAGTGAATTTCGGTCAGATGGACCGTTGACGTGAATAAGGTGGCGGGTAGTGGCTGGATGTGGAAGGCAGAGGACTGGGTGTGGTGGCGAGTCTTGGGAATGGCAAATGTTTACCAGTGGATCATGCTGTTGATGAAGATGATTATGATCGATTTCAAAGTGCATCTAAACTTGGCATTAGATTGGATTTCACCCCTTTTTTAGGCAAACAATTAGCCGATTGGAACTTGGCCCCCTTTTTAACAGGCATGTTTTTGGTGAGTTATTATTTGTCACTACATTACGTTATCTTTAAATTACATTTCTTTGTAGTATGATATTTTAGAACGGTTCTGTGTGATTGAACTCACCACCGGACATTTAGTCATTGAAATCTTGTTTATTGTTTTATATAATATTTTATTTCTCTGTTATAGTTTCTATCTAAATACAAATTATGTTTTCAAAAAGGAGATTAATGTATATTGAATCAATAAAGCTGATCTAATTACTTTTTAATGAATTATAATATATCTAATAAATTATATTAATACAAGTAATTACTTAATAATTACTCAATTTTTTTAATGTTTATTATTAATAATACAAGGTCACGGAGAGTTCCTGGTTAACAAGTTTAGAAAGCAAGCAAGCTTCACAAGGCTTAATGATATCGACTCTCGGGTTGCGAGCTCCCGCCACACAACATATGAAAATCCGCTGTGTTGCCATCATTGGAGCCCATCGGCGGGAACGAACTGTCACAATAGGTAACCTAATAAGTATATTCTGATTATTTTCTATAAAATACGTATGACAACTTGAAAATGTCACCGAAAACTTACATAAATTATAATTTTTATTATTGAATATATATATTATTTTTGTTTCAGAAACAAACTCCTCTGACCGAACAAGACCAGCTTCTATTGTTTTTATAATAGTAATAGCCTACATCAATATAATTTACCAAACAATGCGATAAAATAAACGTTTGTATATGATGTATTATTTTATTCTGTAAATAAAATATTGTTTCTAATGTGAAGTATTTTAATTGATAATATTTTTGTACAGTTTAATCAGTTATTTTATTTCTTAAGTATACACAATTTTGGACTTAATAAAAAAATATAAGAATTTGCTAAACGTCTAGACACTACTGGAAATTAAACAATTTATATAAAGTTACTATGACGGTTTCTGTCAACAGCAAAAATACAAAAGTATTTTAAATTAAATGTCACATGATAAAGCCAATATTATTATAATAATTTCAATTTGAATAAAGCGTGGAACACATATTATTATGAACCCTGTAATTAAATAAGATTTGTTGTTTTCCACACATAGAACATAGGATTTTATTATGACATTACTATATACTAACATCAGATATTTCATCAAAATCATCTTATTAAAACTACTAGAAACTATAACAATAATATATTTCAGTTACTCATTACATATATTTAAATGTATAGATATTTTTTTCTTAACAAAGATAATTTATTCCATTCCAGACTTAAACAGTAAGAGATAACATTCATTCATTATATTGTTAATGAAGTGCATATATGACAAGACAGTGAAAAGCAAATAAATGTATTAATGAACAAAATATTACATTAAGCTCTCGCTCTAGCAAAAATATAGGCACTGTGCTCTCATAATCTTAATAATTTAAATGTAAAATAATTATCCTTCCTGGCCAAAATCTTCCATGAACTTCTTCAATTTAATCATGTCATCATCATTGACAGTGGGTTTGGATGTTGCGAGGGATCGAAGCATGTCGGACATAGTTACAGGCGGTTCAGCAAGTTTGTCACTTGGTACATCCATCCAGGTCATTTCCATAGCTCCAGCATCTCCTGGTGAGCAAGGGGTTAAAAGATCATTCACAATCACATTAGGGTCAGTGGGGCTAGGCCCAGAAACTTTCTTAAAGTGTGTTGAAGACTGGACCTTTCGCACGGGCTGCATCAAAGCATCGCGAACAACAATACTAATGTCAGCTCCTGAGTAGCCATCAGATTTTGTAGCTAACATTTTCATATCTTGTTCTGTCAGTGTATGTCGGGTGTTACCTAGATGCAGTTTAAACATATCTAAACGAGCATGTTCTTCAGGGAGAGCTATATAAATACGTTTCTCAAATCTCCTCCTTATAGCAGAATCCAGAACCCAAGGTATATTAGTAGCTCCAAGTACTAAGATACCATCCATGTCATTACCAACACCCTGCATCTGCACTAAAAACTCAGTTTTAATCCTTCTAGCTGATTCAGATTCATTGTCCGACCGGGATGAGCAAAGGGAGTCAATTTCATCAATGAATATTATACTTGGCTTATGCTGTCTTGCCAACTCAAATAGATTCTTCACTAGTTTCTCTGATTCTCCAAGCCATTTAGATACAAGATCAGATGAGGAGACAGAGAAAAACGTAGAATTGTTTGCTTCGGTAGCAACAGCTTTAGCTAAGTAAGATTTACCAGTACCAGGTGGGCCAAAAAGCAATATTCCCTTCCACGGGATTCTTTTGCCTGTAAATAAATGTGGGAATTTAATTGGTAGGATGACAGCCTCTTTCAAAGCTTCCTTAGCCGCTTCAAGTCCAGCTACATCACTCCACTTCACATGAGGTTTCTCGACCACAATTGCTCCTTCCAACTTTCCTTGTAGCTTTTTCTTTTCTGGGTCATCAGAATCACTGTCGCTATCACTCTTTTTATCTTCACTCTTAGAGTTTGATTCCCCATCCTTAACTGGTTTCTTCTTACGATCCTTTTTGAGATACTCCTTAAGTTTTTCAGCTCTGTCTAAATATTGCAAGCATTTTGCTCTAATACTTTCTTTAGCTCTCTCTCCTTGCGCTTCGTATTTAACTGCATGCAAAAAATATTCTACGCCATGTTCGTAAAGTCGTAGGGCTTCTTCATAATTTTTGTTTTTGTCTTCTTCAGTCGCTTTAGTGACAAGATCAATAGCTTTTTGTAATGTATTAGATGAAGCCATTCTGAATATATTATACCTACAACCAAAATATATTCATTAAAATATGTATGACATATCTTGAAAAGACTCGTAACTAGTCATCGTACTGTTAATATAACTAACTGATTTTAAGGTTCCAACCCATAATTAATGAAATTATTATGTTCAAATTTGATTAAATTAACTATTTCTAATTATTTAGCAATATTATAAGTCTTTTCCCCTACGTACAAAAACAGTGATGACAAATGCCACAGCTAACTCCTCCTAAGACAGTAAAATGACAAATAAAATATGAAATATACAAATGTAACATACCATTCGAGTACTTTCTATTATTGTTAGTAGATAAATTCCATTAACTTGTTCTTCTAAAATAAAATTATGATACTGTACAAAATATCGTTTTGCATTTACAATTTTTGTTCTATGACAACATATGGTGTTGCCATTTTATTAACAACTTAATAAAAAATCCTACAACAATATCATTAAAAAAAGTAGTTAATTGGAGAAAAAAATTGTTCACTTTTTATTAAGAGTGACTTAACTTTATAACAATTTAATAACAGATTTATTTAACTCTTCAATATTAGATAAAGTTTTTAAACTTTCGATACCTATGCTAAAATTATGAACCCAGAACTGGAAATAGATATTTTTATGTTTCACTACTGTCTTACTTTTCATTTATAATTAAGTCTCCATATATAATTTTGGAAATAAAAAAATTTTGATGTGAAATATTTCATACTTCATTTAGACGGCAATCGATTTTCTTACTATGAGTTTAGGACTCAAACTTTCAACGAAATCAATCCATGAAAATGCAATAGATTTTAGTTTAAAGTAATTTTATAAAATAAACATTATAAACGACAGACAGTATACACTGTGTTCGATTTAGCACAGAAAAATGCCATATTTAAAACAACCAACCAAAATCAATCCATAGTAACTAGATCCATTGTATTACATATTTATATTCAATTAAATAGTTACATTCAAGATGTTTTAATTCTTAAAAATCTAAAAATGTAATTCCCAACAATGGTTTCACTTAACAAGACAAAAATGTTACAGAAAGCAAACATAATATAATTCTACCCATTTATGCTGCTATTTTTTCTACACTCCATAAGCTTATTCTTGATCAAAGCATTGCTATATAATCACAGCAAAGTTTTATAGTGTGACTGTGAAGGGAATGAGTGAAATTATTATTTACTATATAGTTTTTTGTATTATAAATCTAAGCTCAAAAAACACAACATAAGTGACTAACACTAAGGTTAGGCCTTTGAAAGTTCAAGCGAAAAGTATTTTTATTGTTTTGTATATATAACAGTAATAATATAACCGGTAACATTAAGATGCAACATATACATTGGGATCATTTAGTATTAAACATAGGTTCTCTTAAGAAATAAATTAAAATAGTTAATCATTATACATATATTTAACTTGCTAAAGTGGTCTTATATAATTTGAATTTGCCAACAAATTTTTTTACTTCATCTTTTGGATATGGTTTTAGAGCCAAACAAGTTGCAACATTTTCCGGCTGTTCTATCCAAAGCTTGTGAGCTATTGAATTTTCTTTTAATTTTTCTGCCACTTTCTTTAATGATTCCTCATTTGGTACCTGAAAGAAAGCTTTGATATTTAATATACTAATTTTTGATAAGACTTTAATTAAAAAGAATAAATATATATTCAGTTTTAGCGTAACTTACTTCTAAAACAACTTTATGCATATTGTCTAAGTTATTTAAGTATTCTAAAGTTACTTCATCATCTTTATATAAATGTAAGGCAGCTGTGGAAGCATGGCATGCTTGTGCAACTAATGCACCCACGGACCAGCCCAGGTCCTTTAATAAATCACTTCTAAGAAGTACATACTGGACAATTGAATTAGACATTATCTGCTAAAAGCTAAAATGTACAAAAATACTTAAGCCGAATAAATTAATATGTTGTAAAAGGCTATCCTTATGATCTAAATTTTATTAATGCTTGTCTCGTTTTTGTCAAAATTTGGTATTTGTTGTTAATTGTGGAAATTGTCAAAAAGATTTTATGAGATAAATCTTCCTATGTTGCCATTATGTTAAAATTTTTTTGGATTAAATTTTTGTAAGCATTGAAATAAATGTTATGAATTACCAACTTTAACTAAAATAGACTCTTATTGAAACTAAATTCTTAATTATACAGTAAAATAGCACTAAATTTAAATTGTTTTTAATAATTGAAATATTTGCTAAAAAAATATATGACATATATATATTGTATTTGGATATCAAAAAGAATTCTCTCCTGTAGTTTCTGTGTGAAAAGGAATTGTTTACAATAATTAAATCAACTGTTATAATGCCAAATAAATTGGTCTACACTCAATTAAATAACTTGGAGGAAAACTTTCCACAAAATTTAACTAAAACGCTCGGACAGATTTCTACCTTTATCATCAGTAAACGCTTCTGTCATGCTTCATAACTGCAAGGTAACGATCAACCCGCTGTTGCTATTTCAACAAATTAGCTTAAATAAAAAAAAATATACTAAAAACCTAAACCTCTATTCGATAAATATATCTTTCTCGAAACGTCTAAATATAAAATAAGAGATTTTAATAAACTCTTTTTATTACTACTTGTAAATAGGAATAAAAAGAGTTCACGCCTTGGTGTACGGCGTACAATACCTTATATAAATGCTATCTATTCGGTTTCTCAGCGCTTTAATCCATAAACTGTTAATTTTACAAAGAACTGCAAAACATTTTTTAGTCAATTTTTATATAGACCTCTATCGACCTCCAATGAAAAGAAAATATTTGTAAAAAACTGATTTTCATGACCTTTTCATTATGTCGATGTCGATTTTTCACAACTTCATTATAGCGCCGTTATTACAACGTAATATACACCTTACGTTACAAATATTCAGCTCACTAGGAATTTTTCGCCAAATAAAACCTTAAATGACTGGACTACTATTTCCTTACATATAATAATAAGATTAATATTTTTCTTTTTATTTACGTTATAGGTTCATTCACACTGGAATTTTTGAAATTATTTTATGATAGTGATAGTCATATGTATATTCCTATTTCAGTATCAGCATTCAGCTGGTGTGTGGCAACCCTAATATTAAATTAACTTATATTGTTGTGACAGATGTAGAAATCTAGTTTTAAATATTGATAATACTATTTGAGAATAAATATAGATTTTTCAATGATTTGCAAATTTGGCGCCAATGAACATAGTTAAGAACGCAATTACATTTATGAAGATACACAATTTTAATGGTGAACTACACTTTTATTAGTGTCTTTAAAAGTTGCTTTATTATGTTATAGTGGGTACGTTAATAACGTAATATTATTTTCGTATTGAAACTTTCAAATAATTCATATTATATTTCTTTATATAGATTTACGAAATAATAAACATGACTGTCACAGTTGATGAAGAAGAGGTATTGGACCAGATAAATATTTTACCAGATGAAATATTGATCTATATTTTCAAATGTTTGCCCCTTGACTCTCTTCTTAATTGTGAAAACGTTTGCAAACGGTGGAAGGAATTAGCACGAGATCCAGCTCTATGGAGAAGGATAGTTATAGTTTATTCTGGGAAACCAGGCCAAACTGAAGTGAGTGAAAAAAATTTAGAGATTATATCAAGTCATAAAGAATATATCCACTGTTTGAAGATTCAATACATGTATAGTTATTCAGTAATAAAATTTGTGATAGATCAATGTAAAAACCTCATTAGTTTAGAGTTAGTTATGTGCCGAATTGGCAAAGATTTTGAACATGATATCCTAAAATGGCCAAATCTTAAGAAAATAAGCCTTAGAAATTCTATTTTACTTGCAAGCAATATTGATCTTTTAGTGCCATTTGAAAATTTTGCTCATCTCCAATATCTGGCTTTATCAGATTTTGGTCTGTCTTCCATTAATTGTGATTCTTTGCTTGGATGTAATTATTTAACTCATATCCTTATTGAAAAAATCAAAGATTTAGAATTGGAATTTATTAATAAATTGATATTATCTAAACAGAAAATAATCAAAACATTTCATATTTATGGTGGGAATTCAGTCAATGACTACACTTTGAAACTTTTGTCAAATTGTGTTTCACTAAAGGATTTAGCCATAGTGAGATGTGAAAATTTAACAGACAAGGGAATTATATCTTTGACACAATTAAATCATCTCCAACACCTACAGATATGGAATAATAACAATTTTACTGAAACAGGTTTATTGCAAGTACTGGGTAGTCCTTCTATAAAACAGCTGAAAAGTTTAAGTCTATCTAGAATACAGAATGTGACACCTGTTTCGGTCGACTTATTATCTGAATACTATAAAAATCTTAAATTTTTAGCACTGTATCATTGCCCTAAAATAATAAACACTGATTATGAGAAACAGTTGAAATCAAAATTTAGAAATATAGATGTTGTACTTTATTGATAATAAAACCAATATGATATCCACAAATTAAATTTATTCACAGTATAAATAATAATCATAAAACATTATGAAATGGGATATTAAAATTCTATGTCACAAAGGTATATGAATTTTCAATTTACATGTATATTATCAGTATACTTTACATAGATCTCAGTAATTACTATGTTGTACTAAACAAACAGCAATTATTTAGGTAACTACAATTTAAATGGATGTGAAAGACAATTTATTTCAATATTCCATATAATTATGTACAGTGATTTGAAACAATGATCAATTTGTAAACTTTTATATCAGTCAATAATAATAATTGATGACTAACCTTAATGTAATTTTTATTTAAGGATAACTGAATGTTAAAATTATGATAGACTAAGAAATTTAATAGTAATATAAAAATATATTTCTAACACCATCTTTTAATTTCAAAGCATTTATCACAGCAACCCTACAAATTAATTTGATTATTTCTGATGTCTTATTCTCATTCGCAACATGTTTTTCTTTGATCTTAAATGCAGTGAAAAATTAATGATACAGCAAGTCGATGCATTTTTTTAAATATTTATTGTGTTGTAATATAATGAAATATGAAATGAAACAGAAATTTATATAAACCTTTCAACTCACATGTTTGTTCAAATTTTTTTTCTAGTTCTGTGCAAATTTTGGTTTAGTACAGGAACAATAATTGTAGAAAATGGTTCTACACTAATTTAAGAAATATTCTAATAATGTGTAATATTTACAGAGAGTGGTCATAACATGATTTCTATGTAAAAGATTTGAAGAGAATAATTCTACATAGCATAAAAATAAACTCCAAACATGAGTTTTACCTATCTAAATCTAATAAGTATATTAAAATGGGGAAATAGCTTATAACTATTTTTGTCCTTTTATAAAATTATTTAGTATGGTAACAAATAACTTATCTATAATTGAAATATATAACAGGTTTCACACACAAAATTCAATATTTAGGTCTTAATATGAAAATGTATCAATTATGAATACAATTTTAAGGGGATTAAAAATTACCAACTGAAAGATTTAACTATATATTCTGTTTAATCAAATAAAATTTGAATGTGGAGATTCTAAATACCAGGAATAATTGTAGTTTTATTTCGCGCCTTTAGTTACTGTAAGATACATGTATTTTTTTAAAGTATAGTATAGTCTTACAACATTTAAATTGAAATTAAAAGTTTTTAATAGTTCATTTAAAAAATTTATTATGTTGATGTATAATAACATTTTTTTCCATAAAAATATCTAGGAAATCAGGAAACTTTAAATTTCTTATACAAAATATGTTATTAAAAACAATAGCTCATGAGTGTCATAGTTAAACTTAATTGGGCTCATCTATTTACTTCAAAACAGTTGATTACTTTTTACGGCAGACATTTATAGTATGGTATTAAATTCTTATCAATAATAAATATAATAAAAACATCAAAGGTCCCATTAAAAGCTATTCACATATTCTATACAGTATATAGAACCAAAAACATGTAACAACTTCCCTTCATCATCGTTTTCTTCCGCGCATAAATTGCAGTGCTTTTTGCATAAGCGGTGCTTTCTTGGGCTTGAAGTTCGATGAATTTGTTATAACCGGGGCTGGGGCAGCCCTGCCTCCTTTCAATACATTAGGTGCGGCGGAAAGAGAGGCAACCCTAGCAGCAGGGCTGGCAGTAGCAGCGAATGCTGTACCGTGCTGTGCCTATAAAATTAAAATGTATAGTTTATGGTTCGATTTGTTTGTTTAATAATTTATAATTTTATTTGTATGTACTATAAAATTTATGAATGATCTATTTTATTACATATTATTTAATTTAATTTACCGACTTTTTTGTCTGATGCTTTCATTACGATAGTGATATCGATTTTAGAAAGTAGCTTGACAGTTTACAAGGTGGTATACATTTATTGGCTTTGTGGTCAAATCTCTTATGGTACCAGCACATTTCATTAGTATCTCTAAACCACTGTTGACAATCAAAATCTTTCTGACATATTTATTTAAACATTATCTTTTCGTTTTAATTTTTATTATTACTTAACAAGCATATTAATTTTGTTTTATACAATTTAATATAGTTTAATACCTGTTTCTTTGCAACATTACGAGGTGGTTTTACTACAGTATCAACATAGGCCATTTTAGTTTGCTTTATGGGTGCCTTCTTTGCCTCTTGAGTCATTCTGATGTTGGCAGTGAGTGATTTTAGTTTTATTTCTTGTTCTTCTTGGCATCGCTGAAATATAAATTATTTGTTAAAAATTGACATTCAATACCTGTTTTTTTTGAGATTACTTTTAGAACAGTTAAGTTTTAAGGGCATTTCAAATATCTAAGCCACTTTTTTTTACACTGTAATCATTATTTAAAATGCACATACATGGCCAACAAAAGCACTTTTTGAATGTTGATATGAAGAGCGAAAAGTTCATGATGGTTTGATTGTCAGGATTGAAAAATAAAATTCATTCTATAACTGTATAAAAGTGAATAAGGAACTGAAAAAATAAAAATAACTTTTAAGGCAATATGTGATATTATATACTATGTAGGTGAAATATATAAATAACTTACAATATACATTTCCCTCCAAGTCTCCATTTCCTGTCGTTTCTTGTTCCTAAAACTTTTCTCACAGAATTTCTGCCACAAATGATCAGTATCGTCCATGAGGTATGGGTTGTAATGTTCCAAAACAAATAACTGTTGTGGAGTTGCTTTATCCACAACTGGTTTTAAAATTTCATATGGAACTCCCCCAGTGTATTCAAGGGCTGAAAATGAAAATGAAAATAAAATATAATACTGTATTAAGAATCATACATAATTTATAAGAAACAATGGTGCAATAGAAAGTAAAAATTTTACCATCAATATGTTCTTGCAGGACATGCACACACATTTCATATAATGTTGTTATTTTTCCTATAACTTTGTTGCCAGAATATACTTTTGTTCTGAAAATTTAATAGAAAATTAATCAATAAATAATCTAAGTAGGGCAGACAATTAATATCAATACATTTTCAATAAATTAGAGCTCAATCAAGATATTCTTCAGCAGTATAAAAATGTAAGTAAGTAGTGATTTTTTAATTTTATAATGACATTTAAAATATTCTGAGTCATCATATTAATATATGGGACTGTAGAATTTCATTTCTCATATAAATTATATAGAACACAATACTGTGAATGTTGTATCAATAACTAAAACAGATGAAGAGAACTCAGTTTAAACAAAATAAATATGTCCATTTGAACCTTTGATTTTTCGATGATATTGCACTACTCATAGCATCTTCATCGCTGAAGTGTGGTAGGAATTTCGGTGGTGGGCGTGGCCGATAGTTGGGTGATATTTCTGGTAAGGCCGATATTTCTAAAGAGGGTAATGGAGCCAATTTAGCACTAGGTGCTAACAAATTAGGAGGGTTGAGCTGTAACATACAACAAATAGTAAAGAAGTTGTTATTAGTACTATAGGACATTACACAATAATTTAATTAGTTTGAGTGTCTAAGACTTTAACTAGTAAACATTTAAATATAACTATATTTTTCTTCATAATTCTGATATAATATCATTCTACATTTTACCCTCATGGAAAATTTAGGTTTTGTTCATCAACATAACCAGTATTTTATTTTCAAATTTTACCATCAGCCATTTTTGAAATGAGCGAGTAGTAAAAATTAACTAAAAGTAGAGTTTAGGTATTCAAATATGTATAAACATTTTATATTGCTTTTTTTGTAAGTACTTTAAAAACATAATCAATTTAACTTTGTATAGTTTTTCATACTGTGGGGATCCCTTTTGCTGTAAGTTATGAAAAAAAAAATACTGTTTTTTAAATTAAAACAATAAATAGATTGTAAGCTAATAATGTTTAATAATGTATTGTAACTCCTATCTTTTTGTGGTTTTCTATAAAATAATTACTTTAAAATTTGCTACATATGCATAATTGACTATTATATAAGAAGAGTATTAAATTGTTTAATACTTACATCATCACTAGGAGAACGTGGAGATTGTATATTATCTTTAGAAAATATTGATTTTTTCTTTGGCTTGGATGGACTTATCATTCCAAGTGCTTCTGCAAAACTGGCACCTGAAATTGTTTTATTTATTTATATTATTATTTTAATTAAATATAATATCATGCATTTCAATAAATATAATATAATTAGATTACCTGAGCCACAATCTATACCATCATCACTATCTTCTGTTCTTTTTGGTTTTTCCTTGTCGTCCCTTGACTTGCTAGATTGTTTACTAGAACTAGACTTATGTTTACTTTTCTTGGAACTATCGCTGTTATGATTGCTATCAGATTTTCGTTTACCGTCACTTGATTCTTTAGAAGAATGTTTCTTCTCACTTTTGTGACTTTCTTTGTCTTTTGAGGAACTATGTTTTTCTTTTGACTTATCTTTGACTTGTTCATCTTTTTTATCCTCATGTTCTTTAGATTTATGTTTATCATGATAAGCATCTTTATGAGATGATTTTTTATGTTTTTCGGATATCTGAGATGATTGTTTTTCTGTACTACTTGAAGTTCTTTCGGAGTGACTTTTATGATTTTCGGGTACAAGTTTTTTATTTTTCTCTGAACTGCTACTTGATCTGTGTTTATCTTCGCTCTTGCTGGACTTATGTTTGTGTGAACTATCACTAGACTTGTGTTTGTCAGTGGCACTTGACTTGGTTTTATCTGAACTGCTACCAGATCTATGTTTACTACTGTGTTTACTTGAATCTTCTTTGATATGTTTTTCCTTATCTGAATGTCTGTTTTCTTTGTCTTTTTTGTCTGAACTTTTTTCGTGTCCTTTAGAACTTCTGTGGGAGTGAGAACTATGGGACTTATCTTTGGATTTATCAGATGAATGTCTTTTATCAGAACTTTCATTATGTTCCTTGCTTTGCTTTGAATCTTGTTTGTCATGTCTTGATTCGTGTTTATGTTTGTCTTGATGTGAACTAGATGAGTGTTTCAAATGCGATGATTTATATGAGTCTTTGTGTTGATTTTTCTCTACCTTTGCTTCAACTTCTGGTATCGTTTCTTCTTCATCTTCTGACTTTGTATCTTCACTGCCACTATCACTTTGTGATGATTCATCCTCACTGTTTTCACTTTCGGATGACTCTATTTTCTTTTTTGATTCTGTTTTAATGTTATAGCCGTTATCTTGTGAGTATTTAGATTTTTTTGTATCATCATGGTCTTCCTCCTAAAAATTATAATAGTGAGTTTATGTGTTATTTTTGAAAGAAATTTAAACTTACAATTATTATTGAAACTTACCTCGCTACTTTGATATTTTCTCTTATTTCCACTATAATCCCCGTTAGTTTGCTTATGGTACTTCTCTTCAGTCTTTGATCTTCTATTTGATTTCTCAGATGTATCATGTTTACTCGTAGATTTGCTTGGGTTACTGTCATAATCCCTGCCATTATCATGACTACTGTAGTTTTGGGCTGTTAAAATAAATTATTTCCTTTTGCAAACACTAGTTAAATTATTAATTTTCTAGCATCCACTACTAACTTCTAATTCTACCTCTACACGATGTCTAGTTATAGTTAAGTATAACATAATCATAATATATGGAATGTAGGAAATATTTCTATTAATGAGTTATAGGTAATAGTTGGGTGAATTGAAGAATTTAAGAAGCCTCACTGTCGTCATTATGATCTTCATGATCACTTTCTTCTGCAGCCACCATAACCTTCCATTTTAGTACAAGAGCTCTAGCCGCTTGTCCAACTTCCCCTGGTTCCTTTCGGAGAGCATTGACTGTGCGACCAACACCAGTATCTTGCAAATGTTGTACAGTTACTTTCAAGTTGTATAATTTATCAATACTCTTTAATATCTGAAAAAGTTATGTTTATTATTGTACAAAAGTACTTAATTACCAAATAAATTTTAATATTGATTTTGAGTGTTCCTCACGAAAGTTTGTAGTTGTTAAAGTATTTTCTATCTTTGTTGTTTTGATACTTAACTTTGTAAGGTTTAAACAGGTTTCATATATAAAAATCATTTGCTGTTTATTTTTTATCTCTGGGCTTGTCATTGCAAATGTAATTGGATTAGCGATTCTAAATGCTATTATTTGTTTTAAGTTTTATTATATTAGGTAGTAGAGCGCATACGAAATATATTTAAACTACGTAGTAGGCATATATTTATATAAAGGAACCAGTATAGCATAATCGGTTCCTCATATTTACCCGTCTACTTTATTATCAATGTAAGCAAGTTGTATAATTTCAGATTGTAAGAGTAATTATAAATTTGTTATATTGTAGTTTTGTGATGATTATTATTTTAACACTATCTATTACTAATGGGTGAAATTATTATCACTCTAAGATTCCAGACGTTACTTACTTTCTGTTCATCATTAGGATATTTTTCTATAGATCGTTGGTAATGTTTAACTAAATCTAAAACAGACGCCATACCACTTCACAGATTTAAATCTATGTTGATTTTTTTTGTGATTAAGAAATAAGTGCCAGCTGGTAAACGGGCACCATTTTTGTCACACACATGTCTATGACGTACAGCTCATTTGCAATATGATTGAAAACGTTTTGTTAATGCCATGACATTTAATTTTTTTTCATTATTAATGCTACTTACTAATAATAACAATTATATAATTATGTAAAAGATGTTTTCTATTTCAATAATAATGATATAAGTATAATATGATTCAATAAACAACAAGTATGGCTAAATGTATTGCCCTATATTTATTCTTTAGAGTGAATGAAGTGATTATATTTTGTAATTATTATTGCAATAAATATACCTAGGTATATGCCTTTTTTAGTAACGTGATTTTTATTAAAGCAGTGAATAATATACGATATTTTAATTAATGCTATTACTATTTTCGAATTGAATATCTATAAAAATTTTGCTAAAACTAATGTATGTAGATATTAAAATAAATATATTTTTTTACTTTGTACTATGAAAGGGAGTAGAAAATACAGCTGGTAATTTTTGTTAGTTTCTTACGATATACTTCATATTGCTTCTATCAATGTGTGAATTGCTCTATGTTTTGATGAAAATAGCGCTGTCATAAATTTTAATAAAAAGAGTTTCAATAACGTTTAATGTTATATGATTAACCTATACTATTTTTATCACAGTGAGGTTTTGCAGATTTTAATTATTATTAACGAAATAGAAAAAGAAACAATAATGTCGCGATAAAATGGTTAGAGCGCGAATTTTAAAAATCTTGTTTTTTTTATATTGAATTTTGAACAAAATATTATTTAAATAAGCGGAAAATCTAATTTCCTGGAACAAAATTTATCAAGTGAAAACAAAAAAAATTTAGATGTCTTTGAACTTTTACTGTTCAGTGGAATTATATTTTTTCATTCTTTAAACAGTCTTTTTAATTTTTTTCTGAAGCTCTAAAGCTAAGGACAATTGCAATTTTTAAACCACTCATTACATAGTTTAGAGTCCATTAATTTTTTTTTTAAGAGGTAAGATACGGCCTTGACTCAATTTAAATATTGGAGGAGCTCTTTTCTCAAGTAATCACAAGGTAACATATTGGTTTGTACAATGATTACTAAAATACCAATTTCGTTTTTTTTTTTCTAGAATTATGCTTTCCAACGTGTATGTCCAAATATTCAGGGGAAACATCTAAGAAAATATACAAGAAGCTAATTTAATAAAATTTTCCATCATTAATTACTATTAAGAAACTTTTGCCTTCTGAATCTAATGTATTTCTGTAAAAGATATGACCATGAACTCTTGCTATGAATGTGGTCGTGAGGAATGCATTGTTTTTCATTGCTTTTTAAATGCAAATCCCGTTTGTTCATTTCCAAAAATTCTTGCGACCTTTTTCATATACAGGGTGACTGGTGAATTACTATCAATATTTAAGGAGAATACTCGGTACATGTTTCTCATTCGAATTATGTAAAAAAAATAGGCACTTAATTTTTGACAAAATTTCATTATTTTATTCATTTCATTTATTATTTTAATTGATGAAGTTATATCACTAGTTGCTACATAAATATGTTTGTATTTTAGAAATCAATAGAATCTACACATAGTCAAAGTCAAAGTTTTTTATATAATTAAATATCCTATCGGTTTCGTAACTGGTCTACACTACGTGAAATAGTGGGAAATATGGCAAATATTTCATACAGAGTACATCCATAATTAAAATATCGAAATTACTTATTGACGTGATATAGGTTTTAATTTTGTACAGCCAAATATTTCGATAGTGGGAAATCAGTATCCCAATTATAATTTTAAAAAGTATCTTTATATCTCACAGAAACGTGTTTAGAAGTTATTATAGAAGTCATAAGGGAAGAAAAATAATTTGCAATAGTTCATTAAGTAGACGTTTTATCGTTTTTTTAGCAAGACAATGAATAAGACTCACAGAAAAGAAAAGTTTAAAATCAATTCAATCATTTACATTACCATTTCCTAGATGTTAGTAAATGGAAAAAAAATGTGAATTTCGTTCTTATTCTTAACGAGGTATTTATTGTATTAAAGTACAGTAATCGAGTAACACACAAGAGCTTTCTTATATAATTTACCAATTTACCACATTTCTCACTAATGGCAAGCTTTTGAACTATGAACTTTGACATCCTTTTCCCTAAATATATTGCAATCTCTCTTTGAAAGTAAACAACTTCAAAATTATGTATGTGATATATTGGTCAATTAAATGAATATGCTAGTTAATATATTACTTAACGAAACAGAATAAAACTTGAACTCGAATTAAATATGATTATTTAATTTGGAAATTTCTTAAACTTTGAATTGTTCGTTGAATATAAGTGAAGATATAGAAAAAACTAGTTCATGAACTTAATAACTTCTATATAACCTTGATATTTGAATGCAGCGGTATAGTAACTAAACTTAAAGAAATTTGTTCATCTCTATCACTATGGAAAGCCTATTAATTAATAATTAAATGTATTTGTCTCCTAGCATTTTTATAAAATTAGGTAAAGTTATTTGCTCTGTTTTCTTATCAGGCGTATGTTCTGAGCACTGGGTACGGTATTAATATTGATTGAAACCGGTTATACTTTTTATTTGGGACATACTTATTTATAATTTATAACATTAAATCGTGATTTGGGAAAAAGATTTATGATTTTAATATTATTCATACCATACAGATATTTTAAGGAGGAGTAACATTGTTTTTTAGATTTTAGTTTTATTTGTACGAAGTCCGACGATTAATATTCACGTTATTTATTTTACCATCTTGTCTTCGTGTATTTTTTTATAATCTCTGTGTTTCGGGAATACTCTACGTATTTGTAAATTCTTCTAAAATTGATGTTTTGTGATTGTATGTATAAAAGTGCATAATTTTCAGATCTTATATGGACCATACCTTAACCTAAAATACAATAGAAATGAGGCAGCTAGGTCACGTTTCATTATTTTAGCACATCTACATACAGTATTATGGATATCTCATCAATTTGAAGGGCGAAAGTTGTTTGCGCCTGTCATGATGCATCAAAAGTAGATTTACTAGAATAACATTGTAGCGTGTAGGTAAACTAGTGAACCTTAAATTACCTACTTGGGAATAGTCAGCACGTCACTCGAAGTGAAATATGGCTTAGGTAATGCGAATGTAGAAAGGGCCACCGCACTCACGTATTTACAGACACAATAGTAACTTCTGTACGCAACAAGATTGTTATCATTTGGGAATCACGCTAACAAGTAAACGTGCACGGCCAGTGGGAGTCAGAACGTTGGCACCAAATTCAATATAGTGCGGAAGCGGAGCTGTAATCTGCCTGCGTCGCGCCCCCAGATCTAGATATTTACTTGTATGCTAATGGGGCCCTTACCGTGCAACCACGTCTCTTACAAGCTGATGTGATAATACAGAACGTTCCCCATATAGAGTGATACAAACATGAGATACACGTGTAGATAAGAGCCACAGTAATAGAGACAAAGGGAGAGATGCCATTTCTTTATACGGCCCCAGCTTGGAATACTATTCAAAGTAATATCTATTATAACTTCGTAATGCAGCTTTTCAAAGACATGATCTTATGTTGATAGGCATATCAAAGGTAAACGAGATTATGTAAATAGGAAGAGCCAGAATCAACTCAATATTCCTGTTGTGCGACTTTAATTTCCTGGCGCAAGAATGCCTCGTCGATCCGTATCTAGATTATCCTAGCAATATTTGATGTTATGATTATTATTTTTAATGCACTTATTGTAATTATAAAATAATGAACCATAAAGTCGGTGGTTATCAGAGACATAATAGAATAAAAATGACAATGTTTAATATTTCTATTTAATGTCAACAGATCTGAATCTAATAAATGAATATTTCCTTGCTATTATCTATTTTGTCACTATGAGATAAATCAATAAATAATGGGTTAAAAAATTTAAGTCTTCCAAATTATTCAAAGTAGACATTGGTATTCAATGTCAAATCAAATTAATACCGATATGTGACCTACTTCATTAATACATTTTTTTAGATTTTTACTACTTATTTATCTATGAAGCCTTAATTATTGATTTCATTTATCATTTATTTCATTAAAAATAATCTACTAATGAATAACTGAACGTGAATGCGGCGTGTTTAACCGAAGATAATCTGATCAATCGCGCCAAAGCTCCGAGAATGAGAACAAGGGCTTCATAATGTAACAGTATAATTGCTGATAGCCGATAGATTTATTAATTTATGACTATCGTAAGCAGTTCCTTCTATAAATTATAAAGATGATGGACGACTTAGGGTTAGTCAAGTAGAATGAAACATGAAACAAAAAGTATATATTAAGAGGCATGCTGATGTCTTAACATTATATGCGTTGTATTTTCAGCTGTATTAATAGCCGTGTTAATTAGTTTAGAAACGTAAAGGCAGACTTCTCTATACTAGAATGGAAGTTTTTGAATTAACCAATATAATAACTTCCTATGTCTAAAGTCATGAATTATACTTAGTTGCTCTTTGTTCTTGAGTCTAGTTCATTCACATACAGCTATTTGGATTAGACGCTTAGATAAGTATACTGATATTCTGAGATCGTCTACTTGGGCCTTATTACATCGCCATCAAATTGATCGATGTCCTGTCCGCAATTGAGTTGTATGATTCCTGCAACACTGCACTAACTATAATAATAGCCTTACCTATTACTTAGCTAATACGGATTGATGGAATGATATCGTGAACCTAATTTATTTGTTACGATTTGAAATTGATTTTATTTCTGATTGAAACATCAATCTCAAAGTTATGGTCATGGTTACGATCGTAATTTATAAAATGCGAATGTATTGAAAAAGAACTATATTTATAGCGACTTTCATACAGGCGTTTAACGGATAGGCTGAAAATACAACAATTAATATTAGAG